TATTATTGAACATCTGGACTAAAGGTGATCATTCTTGGATATTACTGGTGCAGTGTGTGCTGGTGCATTTGCAGGAATGGACTGTGCGCAAGCTGGGAGGGAGAAGCAAACTTATATCCTCCACATGTGGTAGTTTTTAAATTGTTTGAGAAAGTTTTGTGTTAGGCTAAATGGGAAGCCAGGTCTTTTTATAGTTTTGTTTCTCTGCTTTCTTAGCTCTTATTTCTGGTCTTGCAGGAGTGGTGTCCTAATTAAAACATTCTGCCTTCTGAAGTCTGTTGAACATATGTCAATTGTGTTTTTAAATGAAAAAAAGGTCAAATAAAATGGAATGAGGAAAGTCTGTTGGAAACTTTAAATTTCTGCTTTATGTTAAGATGTTTGGTGCAGTTTGCATCTCTAAATGCCTCTGTATAATTAAATGCTTAACTGTTTTGTGGGTTTTTAAGCTGTACAAATTAAAAATATTTTTCTAGTATAAAAATACAGAATTATGCACCCTTACTGAAATAGAATCTGTAATTTAAGATGGCTTGATGTGGTAATGTGGATATTCTGTCTTTAGATGGAAATCTTAGAAGAATCTGTCATAATAAAGAGCTGAAGTTTATTTATGTGTCCTAATTGTTAACCTTGTTTCTTTGAACATTAACAATTACCATTAATGTCAAGCTTTCCTAAGGATTCACTAAATAGAATCCTTTTTTGGATTCACTAAGTACAAGACTTTGGTTGCCCTTTCTCGTGGGTGCAGTGTTTGTCTGGTTGGTTGTAGCAGGTAAAGAGCTCCAGACTGCTGTGGTAGCTTTTCCATTTCCACTGCCTTGTGAGTGCTGATGGCAGCTCATCCAGGTGTCCTGAAGCTCCTGGGATATCTGGAGGGGCTCAAGTGTTTATTGTGGCTTGGAGTGTGCTGTCTAAAGGTGTGGCCCTGGCCAAAAAGGAAGGTGGAGGGGAGAAGGTCAGGTTGGGGTGAGCTGGCCCTCACCCTGACTCCTTTCTGCTGTTTATTTGGGGCAATGTTCCCCTAGGAAACCTGAAATGCCCCTGTGTCTCATTGCTTCTTACTTCTTTCAACTCTTCTACATGTTTGGTTTTTTTTTTAAAGAAGCACGTACTAATGTCCTGGGGCTTGACATGAGGACTACCAGCATTGACATAATGTAAATACATGACAGTCAAGTCCTCTCTGTCCAGAAATCCTTTCAAGTTGCATCACTGCTAAAGCCTGACAGCCTCAGAATCGTGAGTACTTTAATCGAAGCAGCTGCTCAGCAATGGTTGTAAACTTGTGCTAGTGGGGTCAGGTAGCTCTTGGAACTGGAAATTATCTTTCTTCTGCTTACGTGAAGTGCAGGTGGAGTAGATTAATACCTTTCTACAAGTGTGGGTGAACTCCAGCTGGCTGGCTTCACTTGCAAACCACTGGATGCTGGGTAGAAAAGCTCTTTTTATAGCCAAAATGGCTGGCAGACCCAGTGCAGGTAAGAAAATTGGAAGAATTCTTTCAAGATCTGTGAAAGAACTACTATCTGGATCATTTAGACAATGAGCTTCATGCACCACTGCACAATAATCAGTAATTCCAGGCTAAACTGCTAAAGGCAAAGTTATTAGCATAATCTGTTAAACATTTACCTATTGAAACAGATAAAGTCTTTGCTGGAATTAATCTTCACTGTTTGATCTCCTAAAAAAACTCCCTGAGGATTTTGCAATGCCATACTTTGCAAGTAGAGAAGCAGGGCTAGACAGAGAATAATTATCTTGGAAACTTTTTTTGCAACTCCCCACTTCTGTAATTGACACTAGAGATAGATTTCTCCCACTCTTCCATACTTAGCAATGTAAAATACCTGGTTTAAGTGTCAGTGAACTGACATTTAAGTGTACTGCAATTGCAAAGACAATACAGGTTTATCATCCTCTGAGCAATTTTATTCTGCTCTAGCACAAATTGTGCTGAAGGGAAGTAATTGCCATACTGAAGTAGCAGCAACAGAAGTTTCACCAGAGTTGCCCCACTGTAATTTGGTTGGAGGAGCTGTGGAAATGAGGGCTTTGCTGCGCACTGTTTTAGTGGTGCTTTGGGACATGTTACCCAAGCCTGATTATGAGGAGAATGTGGTGATGTTGGAAGGATCTGTAGGGATAGAATGGAGAGAGATCTTTAAAGTAGCATCAGATAACTCCTGAGAGAGTATGAGCTCATCCAAAAGAGCTGTGATAGATGTTCATCTGGAACCAATGCCATGTGCACAATATAAATCTTGAGTTATTTAAAACAAACATCAAAGCCTTTAAAATCCTGAAATATGTGACTGTTAAATATACTTTAAAAAAGGATGTAAAAAATATAGAAGACAGAAAGGGAAAGAATTTGCAGAGATACTGAGATAAATATATAAAGAAAATATGTTCTAGGAAACAAGAGCAGGGTGCCTGCCAGGAGAAACTTTTGCAAAGGTACAGCTAAAATGAAAAACAGTGAGAGTGTGAAGAAGGTTGTAAGGAATAAACCAGTAATGTCTGCACTGGTATGTGAACTGAAAGGAGATTACATTTATTACTTATAAAATCCTCTTTCATTATTAAAAAGATCATTTCAGCAACAGACACAATTACAAATGAAGAAAATATAGGCAATGTTTCACAGGCTAGGTATTTCCTCTCTTTGAAGATTTTTTTCATTAAATGTGGAGTTTTTTGAATTATTATATTAAAAACTAAGTAGATATTCACTGGTAAAGCAACTAATAAAAAATGTGAATGGTTACTGCTGTTGAGAATTAATGTAATCTTCCATGGTCATGAAAGACTCATTACGAACTGACTGGATCATGTATTGTGGATGATAAATCTTTAAGAATTGTCTGAAAACTACTTTTACGAATTTTGGGGGTTCTTTCCTTGAAATTCATGCAAGTAAAGTTACAGCCCTGTTCTCTTTTTCTTTTCAAAGGCAAAGTAGATCATGTCAGGAAGGAAATAACTCCATGAAATTGCTGAGTATGTAAAAATTTCTTTGGGGGTGGAGAGGTGGAAATCTCGTTCTTGTTTACTCACCTGTTTGTTTCTGAGGTGATTACTGGAATCAACATTTGCACGTGAGGAGTGTGGGAGGAAAAACTACTTGCCACGGCTGGTGCTGTGTGTAGTGACAACCCTCGTGATGGATGTTCTAGGGAAGTTGTGACGTAGCAGCATGAGACTCGAGACAGGCAAGCCAGGACACAGGACAGGGGTAGCAAACTGATTACGTGAGGAGCTGAACGCCACGTTCCTTCAGGAGCTAGCAGAGGCCGTTTGCGCTTCACAAGCACCAGGAATGCCGGCAGTCAGAAGTGCAATCTCCAGCCGGGGTTTGGTGTCGTACCTCAGGCCTGGCACCAGCCTGGCAGAGCTGCTGCTCTTGGCAGCTGGGCAGGAAGGCAATGCTCACATCAAGCCTTTGCTACCCTCTTTTAGGGTTTGGCCCCTGTGTTGATTCCCACTGAGAAGTACAGGCTTTGGATCTGTGGGGTCTTACAACTTACAGGGGGTGGGGTTGTGGCAGAGGAACTGCAGCCTTGTTCCTGATCTCATGTAAAGCCTCAGGATTTCCCCCTTATCCTCAGGTCTGTGCACCTCATGCAGAAATCCAGAGAGAGCACAGGGCATTGGTGAGCTGTAGTTGGGAAGGATGGCTGTAGCACATTGGTGGAGGTTTGCCATGGTTGAAACCTCCTATTAGTGTGATGTCCACAGTGCGGACCTACCCCATGTCCCAGTTTTGTGAGGGGCATGTCCTTGCAGTGAGGAGCGGTCCTAATCCCTGCATAGTCGTGTCATATTTTGAGTTGAGTGAAATCTGAGGTACAGGAATGTTGAGATAATTGTCACAACAGTTCTGGAGAGAAAAAGAACTTATAGATTAACCATTCATTGAAAGGCTGTTGTAAGATGCCAGTGGTAGGTAAAGGCTGGCAAATGTGAAACCTTCAGCTGATAGATTTAAGAAGCAGGTTTGATTCAGTTGTGTAAGCACAGGTCTCTGGTCCTACAGAGATGCTCTAGGATGCCTTGTGGCAACCAGTTATCTGCAGGGCATGGACGGGATGTCCAGTGACCTGTGGCAGATGTCCTGGTCCCAGGAGAAGCCCCACACATCCCAAGGGTCTCACACACTATGAAGGGTTAATGCAGTTCAGCCAAGGCAGAATGTGTTCTTGTAACACTGAGCAACTGCAGAACACTTCACAATGTCCCATTCCACGTCACAGCTCTCAGAAGGACATACAGGCATAGGAAAGTCAACAGAAAGGCACTGCCTGGGATCAAGAATATGTCATGATTGTCATATTCTTAATAATTTGCATTAACTCTTAATAATTTGCATTTCTTTCTGAAGAACCCATTGCATAATTTGGCTGCAAGTGGCTGAGATCTCATTTTGGGTGTAATGAGAGTTCACAGTTCTTAGAATCTGTGTACATATGATGTGTAGCATCTCAAAGAATGCTGGACTGCATTATTTGCTTCCTCAATACATAGTTTGCCCCTCTTGCATATTTTTATCTTTCTTTGTTTCACCCATTTCTTTTTTCCTTTTTGATTAAAAAAAGTTAGAATCTTTTGTGTATTCTAATCAGACCCTGATTTGGGTCTGCTATTTTAAGTTTATATTTTCTAGAGCCTTTTTAAAATCTGAGATTTAAGACTTTAATAGTAAAGCTTCTTAAAACTACTGACATAAATTAAACGGTTAATTCTACAGAGATGACCACCTCCGTGAGGCTGCATTGTAGGAGACTGTAGGTAAACCTGCGTCAGGATGCAGTCTTTGCCCAAAACCAGCTAGCCATGGGCTCCAGCTAATCAGCAAATGCAGCAAAATGTTCTTTTCGGAGGACTTCTTCCATTGCTCTCTGTTTAGTGAACATTAGATCAAACATTGGTTTCTGAAGGGCCCTGTGATTGCAACAGTACTGTACATTTGGTAATACTTGGAAATGCCACAGTCATTTCCCTTTCCTGTGAAGATGTAAGTCCCCAAACATCCTCATCTGGCCTGTAATTGGTGATAAACATCTCTGTTCACAATTTGTTTGGATTCTACTGTACCAAGATCTGTGTAATGGCTCGTTGCCACACTTAGAGTGAGACTGCCTAATATTCATTTCTTGGGAGTTGAAAGATGGGATATCTAGAGTTAGTATGGAAGTACAAAAATAATGAGGAGAACTTGAGAGAAAAGCCTCCCAACAACTTATTCTCTGAAATCATTGGAATGCACAGTGGAGAGACATTTTATGTTGTCATTTACTACCCATCTGTACAAAAAAAAAAAAAAAAAAAAAGGCTAGGTTATTTCTAAAGTTTTATTTTGGGTGACTCTAATTGTAAGCAGATTTTTACTTTGTTTTATAGACCTGGTCTACAATGTGCATTTTTAATTCTACACTTAATCATCTATACACAAAGAGTTGATGTAAAATTCATGGAAATAACTGTATAATGATAGAATAAAAATTTCACAGCTGTTATTAAGAAAGTAGGTCAACATAGCTCATATTTACAAAGGAAACTGTCAGTTCTTTTGAAAACAAAACCCAAAAGAACCCTAGATCATTTGTCCAGTATGGGTTGTTTTTTATGATTTTCTTAAGGGAGACTTCATAGGTCAACAGTTTCCAGGGTTGAATACGTTTAATTGCTGTAGTGGTTTTATTAATCTGCATTTTAATTTTGCCAAATTTAATTTTTAAAGAATCAGCCCTTTGATTTTTTTTTTTTATTATTCTTAAATATATGAGGGAAGAAGGAGAATTCTGCCAGTTCAGCTATTTTCAAGTTTTTTATCTTTTTTAACAGTACCATTGAATGATTAATGTGAACAAATGCCTTTTAGGTTTGTCTACCAGTGGAAAAGTATACCTGAGCTCATTCAAGTGCTGTTAATGAAAATGACAAAAGCAGTGATTTGTTAATGCATCTGCCATTAGTTACTGTTTTATAAATCATATGACCTGAAGAAATACTGTGTTGTTGCCCTGCATCTGGTAACCCAAAAGAAAAGTCAAACAAGAGAAAGATCTCTAGCAGTTAACAACAAATCTATTTTGGGAAAAGGACCCTCTTTTTTTTCCAACTGGGGAGTGTGGGATAGACATGGGGGAGAGGAAACCAAACCCCAACATTTTATTTATTTCTAGAAGGAAATATAAAATTCATAAGCCCACCAAGTATAAGGGTTGGTAGACTCATGATCTGTAAAATGCCCACTAAACATTTCATGCCACAAAAACATGTTTGTGTGTCCCTCTGTGATTTCCCTCAGTATTTTCCGTGGGTAAGTTTTTCCTCCTTCTGGATAATCTCCTTTCTGCAGGGAGGAAGGGTCTCTCTATCAGTCTAGGACCTGAGCAGCCCTTTGAGTGACTCCTTTGGAAGGCTGAACCTGTTTGGGTACATAGAGTTGTTATTCTTGGTCACCATAAGGTTCTTCTATTTAGACACACATATCAAGGTCTTCTCAGTTTCTAAGTCAAACAGAAATGGGAAGACTTTCCTTAATGTGATCCTTGGTTCATTTATTGTGTGCATTTTGTTGGTGTTTTGTCAGGCTGGTTTTTGTCACCTATTTTCTTCCCTGAAGGAATTGCTTTTTTTAAGAGATCTTCTAATTTTTTTTCTTTGCTTGGCATCTTTCAGGCCTAATCAAACTGAAGTCCAATACTCTGTATACCCAACAGGAATTAACAGCAGCAAAAGCTACGCTATCCCTAGCTGGATTTCCTGGGGAGTCTTTTCTTGCTGAGTGGTTTTATGAGCTGTATTTGTATGATAATCCCTTTATATGGGGTCACTGCAAAAGGGAAGGATTATCTGTTATAGTAGCACTCCCTTTTTTTACAACACCAAATTCTCTTAAAGCTTTCTGTTCTGGTGGAGGTTATGCTCAGACCTGCTTTGTATTCTGCTTTGGACATATATATGAATCCTATCTTGAGAATTCAATAAAAAATGATGGATGAAAAATTTTTTGAGGCCTTAGATAACTGATAAGTTAAACATGTCCACTTCCATCACACGTTGTCATTGTCACGTTGTCATTAGGGCTCACATATAATTACAATTTACAAATATAACTTCCCACAAAGCCAGACATCATATTGTACATTTGATATTTATTGATCAGCATACTTCTCTGTCATCAATAAATCACCATACCCTCTCTGCAGGAGTAGCTTGTGCTGTGCACCACAATAATAGTGCTGCTTAGAGTCCAATTTTAATGAGGTTTGAGATTATCAGATTGGTTATTGATGTAAACCAGGGTACTGTAATAATTGATTAACAAATCAACAAGTTGTCTTTGACAGTTTATGGATGAGAGAGACCTGTCTGTGCTGCAGGAGGATGTTCAAGGGTCAGGCTTGCTTGTATCTAATTGTCAGAGAGTCTGAAGGGAAAGTAATGTGTTTGTGTGTCCATACCCAGAAAAACAAGCCAAAATACCAATGCATTTTATCTCTGAAGAAAAACCCAGAAGACACTGGTAATATTTTAGTATACTCTTGATCAAGTGCCTTCATAGCACTTTTTACATGATAATCAGCATAAACTTGACCCTACACCAATGAATACACACGAATACTATACTCCATAGTTTAGGCAAACAGCTTTTTACTTTGAAAGACTGTAAGACTAAAATAACAGCAAGTGCAGCAGTGCAGATGTTTTTTCTCTACTGTAATGCATAGTCAAATAAACACTTATTTCCCAACAGCAAAATGCTTTTAAAAAATATTTTTAGTTTTCTTTTTCCCTAAACCCTGGTTTTTAGGGTTTTATTGTGGGGTGAGGAAAACAAAACAAAGAGTCTTCCTTGGGGAGGGGGAAGATAATGCCTTGTGAATTCTAACATCAACAGAACAGTTTAATAGTAATATTCCTCTGCTGCCTGATTTCTCCTATCTTCTTTAAATCTTAAACACTTGTGTGTCAGAAGAAACCTTTCTACTTTTTCAACCATTCTCTTCAATTTCCCATTAGTTTGAAGACTGTTTGAGCTTTTGGTAGAACTGTGATTCAAGAAATCATGGGTGGGAATCTCTTTCCATGGGCCTGTAGAGTATTCTCTGTGTTGCATCAAAGCAGGACTGCGTTGGCTCTTGAATATTCCTCATAACTGATTTCCTTGCAGGACTGTCAATGTTTATCTGCAACAAGAATGGGAAAGTCCTGACAACTGTGATTAGTGGAGGTCGAGAGCAGCAGTGAAGTCTGTGTGGCTGGGCCTGTATGCAGAATATGGCAAGGCTCCAAATGTCAGGGAGTTTAGCAGGATGAGTTTGGTTTGCTCACTGCTTCTAGGAAGAAGAAAACAGGGACAATTCAGGCAGGAATTGTCCTGTCAACATGGTTTGGATGGAGTGGCTGCAGTGGAAGGAGTAGCTGAAATTTGCTGGTATCCAACCCTGCTTTCCTCTGCTAAGAATTTTTCCTAGAGCTACAGTTAGGTTGCAGAAAAAAACTGATGAGTCCAAGTGCCTGGAGGTGCACAGTGCCAGTGAAAAAAAAAATACTAATAGTGTTATGGCGTGAGATAAAATTGAGCCTATATATCAACTTTGTTTAGGAAAGGTTTTAGTTCCTAGAGTTTTCCTGCTGCAATTCATGGTTTGTAGCAGATAAACTGAAGCTCTGCAGGTGTGTAACAGCAGAAAGGTCTGGTGGCCAGCAAAAACACCAGATAAAAGGAACCCTTTGAAAATCCACCACCTTATGATGAGTTCCATTGGTTGTGTTCAGCTTGACTTTGTCTGTTAGTGTGGAGAGGAGACATCTAAAGATTTGGTTGGTGCTGATGCCTTTTATGGGTTGAGATCTTCCTCCTCCAGAGGAGTCATTTGAGTGGCCCCTTTTTAAATGCTGCTCTAATTTGAATATAAACTGTGTTTCATATCCTCATGAACATCTAGTTTTCTAGAGTGGTGCATAGTTCTTCTGTTAATAGCATATATCAAGAAAATGGGAAATTGGGCTGTCCTGAAGCTCTAGAAAACAGACGGCCGATAGAAAGATTCAAATACACACTACTTTAGAAAAAAATGCACAGCTTATTTATAACTGTCCTGATTTAAGCCTTTACGTTTGATTAATGAATTTGTGGTTGGCAATAGTGACATTTCTCTAAGTCCAAAATGTGTTGCTGAGTTCCCTATAGCTGCACATACTAAAAAAAAAAAAAAAACCACAAAAACCCCAAAAAAAAAAACTGAGAAAAAAGGACAAGAACGCATTGTTCCTACTGGCATTTAAAACCAACAGAGGGAACTTTAAAATTTGCTCAAGATTTGGATTAGAGGGAGTGGTTTAGTAATTTAAAGCAGCAACTGCTCTCAGCCAACATTTGGAAATCCAGCTGATTTGGCTTCTCCTCCAGTGCCAGCAGGGAGGCTGCATTTTGAGACTCTATAATAATTTCATTGTTACACATAAACCAGAAAATAATGTAGCATGATTCTTTAGTTATCTCAGCCTGCCAGAGGCAGAGGCAGTGGCAGTAAAAGCCAGTGTTGGCTTAGTTTTGCAAGGAGAGTAATAAACAGGAATGTTGAACGGTCATAGACCATGTTTGGCTGAGCAGGAATGACTTTTTTCTATAGCTATTTGTCAGGGGGAAAAAACCCAGATACTTTACATACACATCTATACACATTTGCTGTTTTCCTGAGGGAAAAAAAAAAAAAAAAGAAAAAAAAAAAAGCAATGTGTCTTGGAATCTTTCTTTTCACCCATTTGCAAAGGGGACAGCACTGGATAGAGCTTTTACTTTGCTCAGTTATATTTACTCTTGCAAAGAGCAGACTGAGATATAGATATATGGATACATAGAGATATATATGCAGCAGTGGGATAATCCAAAATACAGTGAAGAGATATCTATGGCCTTTGGATCTGATGTTAAAAAGAAAAAAAAGAAGAGAACAGATCCATGAATTTTGTTCTTAACTGAGTTGTGCATTTGCTTTTGTTCTTGGTGGATGTAGTTGAAAGATTTGCCTACAGATGAGATGTGAATTCAAATATTAAAATTCTGTGTGGAAAAGAGTTTACCGGGAGGACGGATAGAAGTTTTCACTCCCTTTGGTGCAAGAGGAGCTAGGCATTTGTTGTTGGTCTGCTGTGTGACACTTCAGGCATTTCTATAAAATAAAGAGCTTTTAGTCACCTCATTGGGAGTCTGGGGTTGGATGTAACTTATAAAGAGCTTCCTGGCCATGGAAATCCTTTTCCTCTGTGATTTTGTCTTCTTATAAGCTTCACGGGGAAGCCACAATTCTATGTTTTCATCACTGTGTTCTGTCTGCAAGTAGGTCTTACAGATTATAGGCCCATCTGTAAATATTTCAGAAGCCAAACTTATATTGCCTGTGTACATGCATTACTTTTAGAGTGCTTTGGAGGTACTAGGGACACTTATGAAGTAGTGTCTCAGCCCTACACTTCAAACTTGCATTTTCCTGCACATGCAGGGCTCCCTAGTAAATTAATCCCACAGTAAATCTAAGGTAGGCAACGCTTTGCCTATGTTTCCCGAAGAGCTGCAAATCCACTGAGTTTAGAGTATCTCGCTTTTTATGTGAGTCCACCTTTCCATTTTGGGTGTCATAAAGCTTTTAAATTAATTAAAATTCAATGAGTAGTGTTTTTAAGTGCAGTGAAGGAGGCATTTTAAGAAGGGCATCATTCTGACTACTGCTGGAAGCTTGAAGTGTTTTATTTAAAGCAAACTTTGTTGCTGTTGCAGCATTCTGGCCTTTCAAATTTCCGAAGATGAAATGTGTTGAGCACAGCCTGCCATCTGGCAGAGGTGGTGATCACGTGTGCCTGCTGCTTCTGCTGCCGTTTTGTCTCTTTGAACAGCTTTCTGTTGAGGAGTTTCTCCCTGTGCTGTAACATACTAGGTTGTTTAAGATGTTAATGGCAAAATCTTCTGTTACAAAGGCTGTTAGTCTTCTTGCTCTTTGTCATTTTTCTGCAATTTGAAAATAATGCCAGTCCTTGGGAGTAATTTTTAGAGGTTTGTGCTGTGACTTTTTCATCACTATTTTAAAAAATGTAATTCAGCAGTGATGTTCTGGACTGCTGCCCATATGACAAATTTGGGAGAGCTCTGAGCCCTATATGAAGCAGAGAGGGATGGAGTGGGAAAGTTCAGAATTCCTGCTGCATCTACAGTTCTTCCCATCCCTGAATATTGGAGCTGCCTTCCACGGCATTCCCCTGAATAAATACGCCATTATATGGTCTCTATGGTGTACTCTTAAGTGGGGACGTGGCAGACAAACCATGTCTTCATGAGGTGTCTGTAAAGAAATTACACATGATTGCAGAAATGGCAAGTTTGGGAAAGCATTTGCAGCATGCTATGTTTATTTCCAGAGTGATGTGTGCTAGGCATGTCACAAAGTTGTTTTTCATTAGCTGTGTATAAGGCAGCATATATTATACAGCATGAGTTTCTGATTTTGCTTTGTTGGAACTTTTCTCAGCAATCCATCTGGGACACACACAATTACTTACATTTCCTTGTTACCAGATTTTCAAAAAACTGGGACCACTATAGCACTTCCTCCAGAGACAGCCTTTAGAAAAAAAGAGGTCATCATTGTCGGATTAGCTGTGGCTCAAAGTATAAAAAACCTAATTACCTTGTTGAAAATCTGTCCCCTAATTTAAATATGAGCTTTATGAATCTTACATTTTAAAAGGCTTTCTTGCATCTTCCAGATCTTGTGCTTACTATGCCGAGACAAATATTTTTCTTGCTGTAACAAACGCAGTTCCATTTCAAGGTGCTCCATGTAATTCCCCTAGAAATGGCATTCACTTATTTAAACTGTGCTTAGGAAAAACACAAGAAAAGTACTGCCTTTCTAGACAGCAACTTCTTTGGAGACAGGAATCATCACAGAATTCAGGAAATATTGATGTTTGTATTTAGTAGCAAAGTCTTTGGGGCACAAGATCTTACTGTAATATTTCAAGGCCATTAACATCAAAGTTGACTTATCACCTGAGAGCTGAGTCTAAGCTCCAAGAATAAGGTAAATAATTAAAGGTTAATGAAATCTTTGCTGGAAGAGACTTCCATCTCTCATCAGTTGTTTACAATGCAGTGTGACACATTATTACTAATCTGCACAGCCCTTGGAAGTGGCTGAATTCAGATTTTACTTTCATGTTTGCTGTTCTTAAACAGTAAGCTTGTGGGAGTTTCATGCCTGATTCTGGGAAAGAGCATGGAAGTAGTGAGGTGAGAGACTAAACAATTTAAGGAAAAACAAATGCTGGAGGGCAGTATCTCCATTTAAGTGCACGTAGCTCCATTTACACCAACATATTTTCAAGCACTGCAGTTTTAGGACGCCAATGGTGGTAACTTGGAAGAGATGCTTATGCTTATGTTAGTAAAAGAAAGGACAGGGGATGTATTCCAGTGGGTGCTTCCATTATGCATCAGCCAAATTTGGAGTATGATCCCCTCTCACTGCGTATTTGCTTTTCATGGCAGCCATAATTTTGTCAACAACTGTTTAGTATCACAGGGCTTTTTAAAATTTAAATCAAAATCTGCTTTGATATGAGTGCTGCATGATGCTTTATAGATTTCTGGTGCAGAACAGCCATTACCTGCTCTGTAGCTTTTTTAATTGGTAATGATTTACAATTTATTTATAACTTGATACAATTCCCTCTTTCTCAGAAAAAGCACATGACTAGGCAATTATTTTCTCAGGCTTGTGATCAGTCTGACATGGTCAAAGAAATATAGAGTAAGAGAAATGCTACCACTATTGAACTGTGTTGTCAGTAACTCTAGTAACTCCTGCCACTGAAAGATATTTTTTTCCTTCTTGTGAGCTATTAACCTCTCTGTAAAAACTCATGAAGCATGTGGTTATGGGGAGTGAGAATCTCTAGTTCTTTGAATGATTTTTTGTTTTACTTACAAACTACTTCTGAGTCATATTTGCTCTTCCTGATGGAGATCATTTTCCACGTGACGCAGAAAATTTTTCACCTGTCAGCAACAGCACTTGTATAGAATGAGTGACAATCTTGTCTGTCTCACTGAACATCATCAGGAGAGCCATCTTATTTCTATTTCTGATTATTTGTCTTTAGCATTAATCTGTGAAACAGAAAAACCCTGGCTGATGGGGAAGCTGACACAGAGGAAAAACTTTTTACCTTTTTACCTTTTTACTTTCCTTTACCATTTGGGAAAATAGGAAGGGCAGTAAGGGAATAGGTTATGATGATCTGAATTAATGCCCCTTTAGCAGCTGTTGTTCTGATAGTAAATGTCTTGTTGTACTGATTTGCACCATCACTGAGTTTGCTAAAGGACATATATTACACTGAAAAAAAAAACCTCTCCAAAAATAACTAAGGCTTTATAGCTGGGACTCAAAAATTTAAATTGTAGTGTCCTGTGGGAGCTATTTCTCACTTATCATCCACCCTCCACTGTGAGTGTCTCCCCTCACCACCATGGTGCAGAAATCCTCATCCTGTAGTTGGAAGCACTGTCTGGATTTCTACTCCTGACTTCAGGGGTCATCATGTGCTCCTTACTATTGCCATGAGGGGTGTGTCGCAATAAATCAGTTCTGTGTCTGACCTGATACCAGCAGAAAACATTTTGGATGGAAGAACTCCACCACCCCAGCGGGACATGTCCCCCAAATTCCTGGCAGTGCTTGGCCTCCACAGAGCCTGGTGGCACCCGAGGACTTGCAGGAGCCACTTGGCCACGTCTCTTATGCACCACATGAATATTCAGCCTTTGCCAACAGCCTGAATTCTTTTAAAAGATGGACCCCAAATATGTGGTTTTTTAATTCCTCCCAGGTCCAAATCTGGACTTAATCCAGAGGTGAGTTTGGGCCTATGCCTGTGTAACATTAAGGGAGCTCCCAGTGGGATATGCCATCATACATCCGTGTGCTGTTGAGGAAGGGGCTGCCCGAAAGTGCTTGGTTGGGGCAGCTGTGAAGGTGTTGCCCTCTTTTGCACAATCTTAAGCTTACATTGAAAACCTCCACTGTGAATTTGTTTCTCCTACTCAGCTGCATGGACTGCAGAACATAAGATTCTTATCCTTACTTACTTAGAACTGATCCCATTTTCTTCTGGTCTGAATATCTTGCAAAGCCAGCAAGTATTTGAATTCATTCTCCTAAACATGGAAAATACGTGAGTTTTTTGAATCTGCTGTGCTGAGCTTTATTCTCTTAAATAAAAACTTATAATTTATACCTACAGCAGTGTAATCAGTTCTAACAGTATTCTTATTTTGTACATCTGGTCTTTATCTATGAGTCATTTCTGAAGCATTTAACAAAAAAAATATTTTGTAAGATACGAGAACTTAAAAAAAAAAAAGGCAAATTACCAGGCAGTCCAGTGGATGTCTCTCAGGGAAGAATAGAAATGTTAATAATTTTCCCTCTTTGCTTCTCCAATTATGAAAGGAGATTGAAGGTTGACCCTGACCCAAAGCAGAATGAAAATAGAAGTATTTTTTTTTCCCTGAAAGCTCAGGATGATCAGGATCAAAGATCAGAGCTCAATGTAAACTGGACAATGCTGAATAAGTTGTTGTGTCTGAGATTAACATTGATATTTGTCCAGCAGGTATCTCAAAGTCAATAAAAGTCATATAAAAATTGCCTTTATATAGATATGATATCCATAAGAGATGGTATAGTTTATTAGGATGAGGCAGTTGTAAATGTTTGTCTAAAAAAGACAAAATAAAAAAAATCTCTTGTGACATGGAATATGTTTAGTGCTTCTCCTTTGGCTTTCAAGCAATGCCAAATGCTGAGTTTACATTGGACTGTAAGTTTGTGTAGGCCTGCCTGAAATCAAAATAGCCTTATTTATTTAAACTTGGAGTTTCTTTCAGATTTGGGGTTGACTGGCACATATTATACCTATGACCAATTTTTTCCTTCCAAACGAAGCACACAGTAAAACACAGGACAAGGTTCTATCTCCCAGCTTTCTGAAGCTGCGCAATGCTTCCTTTGCCTTTAGTGTTGTTTTCCTTGTTTCCCTTAGGTCTATATTCAATTTTATATAAAGTGAGGGTTTCGCCCAGTACATTTCCTGCAGGGTATTGAAACATCATAGCTTTGCCCGACTGCCACACTGCAACTCCTGCTCATATTCTCTGCAGCCCTGTAGACTGCCAGTGGCTGCTGGCTGCTTCAGAATTCTCTCAGCTGTGTTCTCTGTTATGTCTCCATGATTTTTTAATTGCTCCACTGGAATTTACTCATCTCACTCTCTGCCTAAAAGCAGCTGTTTAAAACTACACAGTATTCCATATTTAAGGTGAAATTATTCATTAAATTCTGGTATATGGTTATTATTTATCACCTTATTTTAGGCTATATTGCCCAATGCCCTCTATTTTGGGTGTTTTCATGTTGCAATCATTCATCTTCTATCCACTGAAATGTAAATGAAATGCAGCCTTTGTGGCTTTTTTGAAACCTAGAGAAATTAATGTAGGTTTCTTACTATTCAGAAATTCTCAAGAAATATTATATGAAGCAATATTAAGTAATCTAGTTCAGCTACTTCCATCCGAATTCAAAGTGCCAATTACTAATTTTTTCTTCAGGTGACAGCCGCACAAAGTGACTTTTGTGTAAGGATGTTGTGTTGTGTTTTTATTTTCTTTATTTGGCATATTTTACTGCTTAATTTGTTGTTTTGAAATCCCTCTGTGTTTTCTCCCCCTGCTCTTGGAGTGGCACAGGTTCCCCATTTTGTATCTTATGTTGCCAAATTTAGACTCACTCCTTCATTGTTATTCAGCTCAGTTAACTGTCAGTTCTTGTTTGTTGCCTGGCCACTCCCTGCTAAATTGTCAATCCCTCCCGTTCCTACCCTTTTCCCCAAAAACCTCCCCTGCTCCTTCCCTCCTCAGATGTCAATCCTTCCCCAACACTTCCCTTTCTTCCAGAACCTTCCCTGTCAGTTTTGTATCCTTTGAAATCCCATTGGTTTACTTAAGCCTTTCCCCTCCCTTAAGATCCTCTATTGGTTTATAGATTGTATTTCCCTGCCTTGTGTTTCTCTCCCAGTTCTCCCTGTTGGTTAAAAATTGTATCCTTCCCCTGTTTATAAGCTAGCGCCTGCTCTCGATTTAGGGTCCTGGGACTTTGGACTCGGGGACTTTACCATCAAATAAAGTCACCCCAGTTCCTGCCCTAAGACACGTGCTGCTGCCTCTTTGTTAATCTGAGCCGAACCTTCGCTGGCAGCTGGAATTCTACGGGATCAGCCAGGGGGATCTGTCACGCACCCTGTTGTCGCCATCGCCGGGCCGGGGGCTTAGAGCCCCCGTGCCGTGACATAAGGAAATGTTACTGTTCTGAGGAGCCATTTTAATTTGAGTTACAAGCTTTAAACTTGTTGAGAACACACATTTTCCAAGCATACACCTCCAGGGCTTTGTGGCTGTCTCTTCTTTTTAAGTCAAACTCATTTACTAATAGACCAAGTAACAGAGCGTGCTGATTTTATCTTTACCAGTGCTGGAACTTCTTTCCACCGAGGTGCAGTCTATGTTTCATTAGTCTGACACTGTGTGTTTCTGCTGACAATGGTCTTAACCCTAGAACGAGACCGGAGCAGTACAAAAGCTACAGCACACACTAGCTGCACTAGCAGGGTGCTAGTTTTGGATCATGGAACTCCCACAAGAGCAGCCTGTTACCTGTCACAGTGTCCTGTTAGTGCCCTGTCATCTGTTGTAAATGGTACGTGGGATCTTAACTACTCCTTACAGCTTTGCAGTGTTCACATAACTAGACTTGGATCATGGAACTCTTCTCACCAAATATTTATGAAGCATAGTGTCCTTTCTCTTTGCTTGTTCTAAGATATTATTGAAACAAGGCAACAAGCTTTTTAGTGTATAGGAGCTGTGTGTTTCCTGCAGGACTGGTAGTCAAGCAAAAACCCACATGGCTACAACTCTTTTGCAAAAAGAATTGCCTGACTGATGATAAATTAATCTAAGTGCTGGAGTTATTCATGTCTGTAAAACATATAAGCAGTGCTGATCTGGAAGTGACTTTTTCACTGTTTTTATATTTTATATTGGAGAAATATCAAGAAAACTGATTTGGTACATCAAAAAAAAGATCTGTTTACCTTTCAAATAACAATATACATTTTGATTTCTGAGCACCCTTATTCTGTGCCAATGAATCTGTAAACTACCAAATACCGCAGATTTTAGCACACAACATAACTTTCATCAGAGAGATACTGCTATGTAAAAGTTCTAACTGATTGCCTATGTAGTGTTCACACACAATTCACAGAATCACTGGGTTGGAAGAGATCTTCAAGTTCATAGAGTCCAACCCATGCCCTAACACCTCAACTAAACCCTGGCACCCAGTGCCACATCCAGGCTTTTTTTTAAACACATCCAGGGATGGTGACTCCACCACCTCCCTGGGCAGACCATTCCAGAACTTTATCCCTCTTTCAGTGAAAAACTTTTTCCTACTATCCAACCTATATTTCCCTTGGGGCAGCTTGAGACTGTGACCTCTCGTTCTGTCAGTGCTACCTGGAGAAAGAGACCAACCCCACCTGAGCACAGCCACCTTTCAGGGAGCTGCAGAGAGTGATGAGGTCACCTCTGAGTCTCCTTTTCTCCAGGCTGAACATCCCCAGCTCCCTCAGTCATTCCTCATAGGACTTGTGTTCCAAGCCTCTCACCAGCCTCGTTGCCTCCTCTGGACGCGCTCCAGCCTCTCAACGTCCTTGCCAAACTGAGGGACCAGAACTGGACACAGCACTTGAGGTGCGGCCTCACCAGTTATTCAGGTTATTTTGCACTGACTATTACACAGTGTATTCACCTATGTAGGGCTAAAGCTGGGTGTATATCAGCAATGTTTCTAACGTGAATGCCTTTGCAATGCTGAGAATTTTACATGCCAATAATAAAAACAGGTGTTCCCCCACCTATGCTACATTTTCCTGATAATATTTCAAAGTGCAAATCTCATACTTACAGAAACTTCTTTTGGGTTGTTTCCTTTGATTAAAAAGCTTCATTTAGTAGTTGCATTTGCCAGGGTAGCTTTCCAAATTTCTTGACTTGCTTTTTTGTTTTGTTATTTTCTCTTAGTGTGGATGGGCTTAGTACCCACTGTCCATGTCTGTGCTGCTCATAACAGTGCCTGACTCCTCTTTTATACACATCACGGGCAAACATTGGCCGTGGTTTCCATCAGAAAAAGCTCCTTTGGGCTCCAATGCTGCACTGACAGAGCCTGTTTACACTGAAATTATCTTGACATCTCTACTGGTCAGCTGTAATGACATGAAGCTGTGCTTTACTTCATGGAAATCTTGCATGGATTGTCCCAGTCCTGTGACTGGTATTTTCCATTCCTTTATCAAGGTTCTTTTTATGAAATCTGCATTCCATGTTGAAATGAGACAAAGAGCACGAGTACCCTTGCACTGAAACCAACTTTGTTCTTACAGGCAGCATAATGACAGCACTTTGCAGTGCTCTGGGAGAACCTTTTCCTGCTCAGACCCATCAGTGTCAGGCTTTTGTATGCTCCTGTCTGCCCAACCTGCTACTGCACAGCATCTGAGGAACGTTAAAACTTTTTAAACTTGTATGAGGTCGTCTTATTATTTTTCTTATAGCTGTTGCCCAGGTTATGACTTCATTTTCAGTTGGGACACATCTATGTTTTGCTCATTCTTCTCTAGCCGAGTGTTTGAAAGGAGCCGTGCAGTGCAATACACTGAAGTTGCTGTTTGTCGTGGAAGACTGATGCTGACTGACAAGATTTACAGTGATGCCAGGGCTTTGAGAGTAAGCAGTGGCTCAGCTGCTTGCTGCAAATTAGTCACAGCAGGGGATCTTTCTGGAGGGCTTGCTGTCCTTCCTGGGGTGGTTGTGACTTGGGATCTCTGGGAATTTGCCATTGCTTACGAGGCACAGAGTGACCCTGTTGGGAGGGGAAGGTTGCTCATGTCCATGCTCCCTCTGACAGCCCAGCTCTGTGCTGTGATATCTTTCAATCTTCTCTCTCTGCTCTAGCTCATCTTTTTTTCCTCTTACAGAGCCTCCCAGGCAGAGCATGAACTGTGTAGGATTGGAACTTAAACCGAGGTTTGAGTCTCCAACAATGCAGTACACTCATTTCTTTTATTGCAGCTCACCCTACCGGCACACAGGCTTTGTGTATGAGATGTGCATCCCTTTTCCCACAGCACTGGTTCTGCTGGGGAGGAAATGTGTGTGGTGTGCTCACCTCCAACAGAACTTGGTGGCAGGGCAGCATCACACGAGACCTTGTCCTATGCTTAGGGAAGGGCAAATATCACTGTGATCTATTTTCTATTGATTGCTATTTCATTAAATCTCATTCTATATTCATTGCAACTTTACACGGGATTTTGGAGTATTTTGTTCCATTTCTCTAATGGGAATGGGCAGGAGCAAATTAACTTGAGTTGATTGTTCAAGTAATCGTAAGAGTGAGATGTTTCAAGTTTGTTCCATGCCTCCTCATACTTCTAATGTTTCATATACAGGCAATTATATACTAAAGCAACTGAGGGCCAGAACTTGACATCTTAAAATATGTCTATAAAGAATCTCATTTGTAGAACTCCTTAAATTTAAAACAAGAAAAAAGCACCTTATTAATAACTGTGACTCTGGAAAAGTTACAGAATAAAAATCCCAATTACGTTAATAGCCTCTCATGATTTGTACCAGTATTTCACTCTTTGATATACATATATATGAAAAATCCTTACATGGGCTTATGCACATTCTTTTTCAAAAGCCTATATCTTATTTTTTACTCTAAGCTTTATTTGCATTAAAGGAAAGGTCATCTAAAATCTCATTTTAAAATGAACAACAATGATCTATTTTGGTTTTTTTTTCTATCAGCTGATGTTCAGGGGATCACATATAAGATCATATCTTTGTGAAGTTAAATTGTGCAGTGACTGAGAATTAGTAACCAACGACTTTGTGTTCAAACATTTTCTGTATTACAGGCATTAAAAAGTGCTGTAATACTGCTTAAAATTGAAATAAACTCATCCTGGGGTTTTCTTCCTAAGTTTGATTTTACTATTAAACTGAAGAAAATACTTCTGCAAACCTCTGGTGCCTTGTACAGTGGGGGGTATTTAGGTGCAGGATTTGTTGCAAATGTCATGTTTTGTTGTATCCTTGACCATGCTCTAAAAAAAAATTTGAAACTTAATGGGTTGCAAAAACGATTTAACAATACGTTTCTCTGTCAGCTCTTTCCACTGTGATCTCTTATAGCTTGATACCAGAAAGTAACCCACCTACTTCCCTTTCCAGAATATTTGCAGCCCATAAGAGTGGATAGTTTAGTTTTTTAGCCAGATGTGCTGCTGTACTGTAAAATTACACGATTTAACCTAAATCCCACCCTTCCTAATATTGCATACAGATTCCACTAGATGTCATCTAAGATGTCACTGAAGGAGGTTTGAACCACGGTGTCCATCAGCCTCCGCCTGGGGAGGGTGTGGGTGCAGGCTCTGGGCAGGGACACTGCAGTGACACCTTTACAAATGATCCCTTCTAGCATGAAAGACTCCTGGTGAGAGTCTGAGACCTGCAGGTAACTTCTGATGGAGCCTTTTCCCTTTGGATTCCTTGTGCTGCCAGGTGTAGGGTGCAGAACAGCCCTAGGATCATGAAGGGATGTGCTACACAGCAATCAATTATTGCTTGGTTTATTCAGTGGTTGAGCTGGATGTGCTTTCCAGAAAGAAAATAAGGCAAATAGAGAAGTACCAAAACTGAGAAGATGCTTTCTTGCTATATATTTGAAAATAACCTGATAAAAAGTTAGGTTATATGTGCAACAAAGCATCCTTTGCTCACAAGGATGCAGGGAACAGTGTTCACAGCTTCAGTCTTTACAGTAGATCAAAACAACCAGTATGTTGTCTGCAGATACAGGGATGATGAAGTGATTTTTGTTTCTGGGTAGAAGTTGGCATTGCCTGCTAATAGTCACTGCCTGAGGAATTTGAATAATTTCTATATTCATGGCTTTAGGTTTTATCAATAAGGCTGGAAAAATCCTACATTGTGACCCATTTCTGTAAACTGTGTTAACCATTGTCCTGCTGAGTGAGAGCAGATTGGAATGTAGATAGCACTTCTGGAAACCTGACCTCAGTTGTACTCTGTGATCTTTCTGTTCCTTTTTTTATTCCTAAAAACTGTCATGTCATTGTGTTAGCCTGATGGTCTTAAGCCATCTCAGTAGGAAAGGAAATCATGCCATGAGAAGCTTGGACTAGTTTTTATAGGAACTTTCACCCTACCCCTTCAGTCAGGCTTCTTAGAGGTGTGCTGTGGTTTGCATACAAAGCACTGTGTGCCGTGAGACTCTGCATTCACACTTCCACCAAAGCACAGCAGTGAACAGGGCTTCTCACACCCCCTGCAGGTGTGTCCTCCTTTGGAAGATACCAGTTCTTCATCTCGTCATAGTTCAGTGTCAAATCATTGATTATAGTGTGGGCCAAGTCAGAATGTTTGACTGTGTTAGTCCAGGGCTGCCCTTTCCTCCAGATGTTTGCTCCAGTGACTGGAGAGTTCCTTGGACTTTGGGCTTTCTTTGAACACTCAGAGTGTGTCCACATTTTCCTTTAGACTGGCATAAATGACGAGCATGTTGCCAAACTCATGGCTGGTCAAATTCTGTTCAATATTGAGTCTCTTCTCTGTATCTAAAGCTGCCTTCTTGACCTTCATGATTCACAAACCATTTACCACAGTAAATACATTACAGACTTTTTCCATAGGTAGTATGGAAATTGTGGGTTACTGAGTTATTAGTGTTATGCAGAGAGTGTTTATCTTGTTTTATTTTTAAAGTTAGCCCTCTAATAGCAGAAACCTTCTGGCCACAGCGACTTGAAAAAATCCCCAAACCTGTTGTGACTCCAGTGATGATGAGTTTGTAGGCAGCTGTTGCGGACACTTTAGTACTTTGGCTGTGTCACAGATTTTGAAGAGAAGCATTGCTAATCTGCTCTGTTTCTTTCTCTCTGAACACAAGACTAGAGTGGTCCTGAAAGGTTTACATTTCTGCATTTTATGCTGTACTCAAGATATTTTTAACTTCATTAGTGAAAGGGACCATGTCACTTTCACAGGGCAGGTCACTGAAGTAGTTTAGAGGAGTGCTTTAAAGCAGTGCAGTGCTTAGGCTGTGTGTTGCTTGAAGAAATTGAAGGGAAGTGCTCAGCAGAACGTAAATGTTGATCATCTTTGGGGTCTTTCAAGAGGGTACTTTCTGGCGGTGCTTTGAAAAATGAGGGGGAATGAGTTTGTTTTCAAAATAGGCACATTGGGGATTGATTTAAATCCCGTTTTAATGACTAAAACATTTGAGGCTTTATCTACCCAAGCAAAGCCAGGGGATAAACTTAAGTCCCCTCTGACTTTGTTTCTGAGCATCCAAGGCAATTTTTAATCATCCAATGAATATTAAGCAAGAACTTGTTTTTCTATTTCTCCCTCTGTTTAATGACTGAAGATTTCATTTCAAAAAGCCTCATCTGTAGACATTACACACTCTGATAAAACCAACTCATGTCTATGAAAGGAAGGTGAGAGCATCCAATTTTGTCGTGTTGTACTATCTGTTTTTCCTTTTCACAACCATAAAGAAGGTGACATGTGAAAAGCCTGTTGCTTAGGTGTGGGCAGGGATGAGTGGCACTGAGGAGTCTATTGTGGTCAATTTGAACTGTTCATCATGATCTCAGCTTTAATTTCCTTCCTGTTTCAGTGTTCATAATAATGCAATGTTTCCATGGGTGGCATGTTCAATATGCGGAAGAGATTTATACTATGCTATACCATATTTTTATTTAGGATAATATTAAGAATATCTGTTTCGGGTAATTAAGTCTTCCAAATTGGAGAGTTCAAAGTTAGTCTGCTAAATACACATTCAGGGTCTGCTGGACTCTTGAGTCCTTCCATAAAGAAACCTGAAACAGAGAGAAGTTAATTCACTTCAAAAGTGTACCTGAAGATGGCACAGTGATTGATTTTTCCACTGGAACATTAACAAACAATGAAAATGTTTTCTCAGGAGTAAGGCAGAACACTTAAAGAAAAGTCTGAGTCACTACTGTCAAATCTTAAAGCTTTCTATGTACTTCATCCTGTTTTCCTGCGCGGCTGTGTAGCTGATGGCCAACCTGATTCAACTGTTTCTTTTAGAGACAGTGAACAGAACAGTGAATTTCCATTCCCTCATGGTGTATCTTTTCCGAAGAGGGAAAGTGAAATCTAGTTTAAGAAAAAGGCCCAACCCACAGCTGTGAAACCAGTGTGTGATGTTGGGGCTGTTCCTGAGCATGAGTGGAGGGAGATGAGTGCACCCACCTTGCACATGAGCCGAGGGTGGCAGAAATCTCTGAGTCCTTTGATCTGTGTGTTCTGAGTCATCCACATCCCTCAGACCTTGTTAAAACAACCACTTTGGACAGGCCTGCTACAGCAACAGACATCTAATCCCAGGCTTCCAGCATCCCAGATCCAGGCCTGAATTTCTGCTGTTACTTTCGTGGTGAAATGTGGTCAGGTTGTCAGGGGTGCTCAAGTGGACTGGAATATCTCTGGAGTTAACAATCTGGGCAATTGACCTTTGCTGTTGCTATTAGGCTTGTATTGCAGATAAGGTGAGAGACTTGAAAATAGCCAAGGTTGTTGGGTTGTGCAGAGTGAAATAGTTTCTTTTTGAAGAAGAAAAATACCTTTCTGCTTTTTCGCTCTACCAAATTATGAAGTAGGGATAGATGCTTGTGGAAGAAAGTCAAAAGTCTGTTCTTCCCTTCTCAGAAACTCTTTTCTACCCTAACTGTGTAATACAAGTTGGTGCAATTGCTGTGACAGTCTCCTCTCCTAGCAACAAGCCATTCAAAAATAAATAAAAATCCTAACTATCCATGCTATGAAATAACGATTTTAGTCAGAAATTTCATATGGGTATGTTTGGCTAAATGATAGCAAAACTGTGAAACCACAGGGGGGAGCAAGGGAAGATTGGGGTCATAATAATTTGAGGGATTTGCAGTCAAAAGAGTAATGTTACTTGAATGCATTGTCTGTTTAGAGGGTAGCTGATATTTCAAAGTTCTGTTTTATCTTCTGTGAGCTTGAAGTTCAGCAAATAGAGACATTTGCTCCATGCAAACTGTGTTAGAGCAAACATGGTGATGCACCTTGTGTGGGAGGCGTTGTTATTCCTACTTCACAGCAATAAGATTTATTCCTAGTGATCCTGAAAAATTAATTAATGTAAGAGTGCAACTGGAGACTGGTTTAGTTAATACAGGAGCATCCAAGTTTTGCAGTCAGACTCTCAGGAGCATGTAACTTAAAAATAATACTGCAAGACTGGGGTCTTTTCTTCTGCATTTATTAGCTTTGAAAGGAAGATGTAATTTCCAATGGCTTCCAGCTACTACAGTGGTGATAGTGGAGGCTGGCACTTTTCTATGTTCCTTCCAGCTGTTTTGCATATGACACAGATTTTGGTTCTCCCCTGGAGGTCCAAAGTCCCCAAGGGTTGGCAATAAGAACATGGTCTGTTCTGGCCAAGAGGTGACGTCGCTGAATTTATAGCTTCTCCCTTTGGTACAGAACAGAGTGGCGCTCACAAAGCTCATGTTATTCTGGAAAAATGGAGAATTTGCATGGGTGAGATAAAATCTTGTGTTGCCAACCATGTGATACCAGTGTCTCATGATGGGAGCTCAAAAAACCAAGGCATTATTTGACTTATTTTCATTATAAGCTCTAATGTCACAAGGTCCCCAACACTGGAGTTTTGGGAGTGCTCTTGTTCTTAGTGACATATTTCAACCGTAATCACAACTTTTCTTTTTTGGGGGTTGTGAGGATGGGTCTGTGTAAGTCAGTATCACCTGGTCCAGGTATCTCAGATTATGATTGTATAAAATGGGCAAAAAGAAAGAGAAGTGGTGAAAGTAAAATCAGTATTTGAATATGGAGATGAGAAATAGTAGCACAGTGAAAAGAATTGTGTGTTTCAATATGCCAGTAATCACAATGGAAAAATCACTTCAACTAAGATACAAAAACACTATAAATCTTTATTTTAAACTGTATTTTAATGAAAAAGTTACTTATTATTTTTCAATAAATTAAGCAGAAAAGATGCTACATACCTGCCTGTTGAATACCAACTTAATAAAAATACAGCTTATACAAATCTTATATAATTTAAACCATATAGATTTTAAGACACATCAATTTAGAATATATTTACATAGCACAACAGCATTGTGGAACTCACACCTATTAACACTTCACAGATTTTTTTAAAAAAGAGATGTCATTGTCTTGGCATTTTCTTGTTATGCCAAAAATTGTCAGTCATCCTGGTTTTTCTTCTGCACTTGATAATCTTTTCCCAATGCTCAGCTCGCAAGTCTTGCGCTTCCTAACAATCAGTAGTACTTTGGGATCTAAGACATGGTTCAGTGTTCATAGTGCAGTTCCAAACCTTGGTTTCCATATCCTGCCTTGACTCCGTGGCGTGTGGGAGGAGGGGATTTTCTCCCTGTGCTGTTCTCACCCTTGTGACAGCCTCACCAGCTTTTATCCTGCATCCTGTTGCCTGTGAAGCTGTTCATATCTCCCTCATACCCCTCCTCCCAAGACAGGGATTTTCCTTGGCAAGATCCAACCACTGTGGAGGATCTCTTCACAGGATATTTGACAGAGTCTACTTGGCTCTTCGTGCCTCAGACACTTTACTTTGAAGTGTTGGTTTCCAGCTGGTTCAAAAGGTTCAGGTAGGATTTGGATTTTAAAAATCTTGGATACGAATCTCTTTCCATAAGTATGTACACTGTTTTCTGGGCTTCATCAAAACTTGTGTGAGTTGGGTCTTGAGCCTTTTTGGCTGTTGCTTCCCTCATCTGATAGTCAATATTGATCTGGAATAGAAAAAAAAAATGAATGTGGTTTAAAACTTAACTTTGAATGTAGTCTCTTTTCTATATCTCTTTGTCAATACATGCATTTTCAGCCTTAGAACTCTGACAGCTCAATGTCAGAACTGTAAATTGGGGGAAATCAAATACCTGTATCCCAGTTAGGCACAAAAGTTGTTGTTCAATATAGAAATGTAGTTTGTTCTGGAGTCAGAATTAATATGGCTCAAATTTGAGGAACAGCCTCCAGTTACTAAAAGAAATCCTGTGTTGAATGTCTCCAGTTTAGATATGATCAACATACAGAACTTTAACTTTTCCAGAAGGTCAGCATATTTTAAAAGACAAGGAATGTTCTGTGGTGCTTCCACTCACAAACACAAAGATTCTCCAAATACTATCAGCAATTCAAGCTGGGCTGGCTCAGCGAAGAGCTTCATGTGCTGAGGCCTTTGCTGAGCTCTGCTGGGGGCTCTCCCAGTACTGGCCTGCTGCCTGTGACTGTGAGATTTGATGATGTTACACTGCAGGTAGCTGTGATTCAAGAAGGGACCTGAAAGTGTATCTGTGTCTTCTTACGCCACTGAGTGAGTGTGTGAGCATCTCAGTGTAGCCACACTTCTCCCTTCTAACTCTGACACACACAGGCTGACTTTATACATACCTGCTTAATGGCATCTGACTGAACAAACTCCTCATAAATCCTCTCTGCTTTGCCATGTAAGTGATCAGATTTGGTTTTCTTGTAATCCTCACAAGCCAGCCAGAACTCAATGTTTTCCTCGCTGAACTCTGACTTCAGGAACTCCCGAAAGACGCCTTGACCACCTAAAGCCAACACAAATAATTAATCTTTTACTGTATGATACTTGTGACCAGGGAGGAGAAAATAAATAGCAGGATTTGTATTGAAATCTGATGTCAAATCTTGCCAAAATACACTGTTCTTCCCTTCTTCAACATACAACAGATATTCTAATATTAAGGCTGATGGGAGTCTTCCTTATTATGTTCAGTGTTTTTACATCTATACTCTGGGTCCTGATCCCATAACAATGGATTCTATTCCTTCCTAAATGGATTGTCTTGGGGTATAAGTGTAGAGAAAATTCCAGATTAAACTGATTATCCAAGGATTGAAGACTGTTTAAAATGAGCTATTTGGGGGTTAATAGCTATACTGAAAATGGAAAAAGACCCCAAAACCCAACTTGGAAGTCAAGCTGTAGCAGTGTCCCAGTTACACTAGAGCTGCAAAAAACTGATGTGCACCTGCCCATTGTCTAACTTGTACGCTAAATTCTACGCTTTGCCTGTTTGGTGAGATTAGATAAAACTTTGTTCTCAGAGTAAGAACTAAGTCATATTGAGGTAACAGACTTACTTTGGCTGGCCAAGAGCTTTTCCAAAGATTGTGACCACTGAATAACTTCCTCTGCAGAAAGCCTAAGGTGACAAGAAAAATAAAAGGCTTTAGGGAAGAAACCATGGGGTTTTGTTTGCATGTCTGAAGGAGACAAAGTTTATAATTTGTCATTATATTCCAGGAATATATGCCAGGAATATATGCCAGGTATTTTACTAAATTTACAGCTTTGTCATAATCTGAGATCCTGGAGACAGCCCACATCAAGAAAAATAATCAGAGATGGAAAAAATATGGAACTATGATGTTATCTTGAATTCTGTTCCCAGGAAAATAGTCTTTTACTCTAACTATGATAAAACTATTTTGTACCTGTACTTCTGTTTCCATATTTTTTAATAAGAATGGTAATACCCTACTCCTCACTTAAGTGAGAAGCGTTTTTTCTTGTAAAACTTGAGAGAACAGCTACAATGTTCCTCTGATAAAAATGGATTTAAGTGAAGTGTCTTCTCCCTCACTGTTTGATGCAAACATATCAAACCACTAATTAAAAATCCTTAACTCCATAAGTAGTTTCTGATTACTGATGTCCACCTCTCTTGTATTTTGGAAATTCTACATGCTTTTGCAATATTTATTGTTCTAGAAGTAGTTTAGAAATGAAGCAATTTACTATGCAGTAATCTGTCTATGATTGTATTTTATAACTCGGTGGGTTTCTGTACTTACATGACATTTCTAGAGCTGGAAGTCTTGATCCCAGATTCAATATGTGGCACCATGCACTTCAAATAACTTTTGAAATCTGCACCACTGAAACAAAGAACAGACATTTTTTAATCCATTAGAATTGCAGTAGCACTTAACTTCTTTTTAAATTTTCTTCAAACTTTCAGAGACAGCTCCATTCTATGACTGAAGTCTGGGAAGTTACATATCCAAGTTATTTTTAAAAAAAGACCGAGGGCCCCCACTGTATCCAAATTCTGCTTTGGATTACTTAAAGTAATCAATTAATTGGTATGCCTCAGCTCAAGGTTTTTTAAATGATTTGCAGTCCTGGGCTTTGAGCAGGTTTTGTTCATTTAGCCTAAACCGCAGCACTAATTCTTAATCTCCAGGATTAGTAGAGTGTTATTTTCATTTCTAATACATTAAGTTTTATACTAAGCTGTATATACTTACAAAGCCTTTTGCTTCTTTTTATGGACTTTGCCTTTTGCAAGCTTGCAATCTTCTTTTCCATTTAATTCAGTCATGTTGTTGTGGGAGAAAAAGAATCCAGGCATTTTCCTTGGCTTAAAGTGAAGCGCCCCTGGCCATGATGATACTCCAGCCCAAGTGACAGCTCCCTGCCTCTGCTGCCACCTTTTATTGCTGCAGGCAGCTCTGGTGTGAGCAGAGCTGTTTATCATGTATCTTCATCACAAACGCTGGAAGTTCCCCTTTCAGTGTTCAGTGACGTGCGTCTTTTTTGAGAAAGAAAACAGACAGCGGTGTCTCGTGGTTGAGGTTATACCAGATGAGGCTGAGTTGCTTTGGGGTTGTTATGTGTCACTGTGTATGTCTGCTACCAAAAAAAAAAATAAAAAACACCAACAAAACCCTCTAGAACTTTGAATTCTTGTCCCTTTCTGATGGGTACTTGCAAATCAAAAGTATATTTTTTTGTTCGATCAACACAGCTGCAAATACTGCTGTTTTTTTCTTGACAAAATTCACTTGTTGCATGTCTGTGTCCTGCAGTTTCATACTTGTCAGTTGGTTAGGTGGGCTCAGCAGAAGACGAGGGGAAGGTACTTTAACATGCCCCAGTAATAAAGTTCTATATGCAACAACCTATTTTCAAGTCCCCTGTTGCTCTTCAAGCTAGAACACTACCTTAGACAGGTTTGTTTGGACAAGCTGTGTGAAAACATTTTGACATGTTTTTTTCAGGAAGGGGTTTTGAAGCAGCAAGAACTTATTTCACTTGGTTTAATTTTTGCAGGTCAGGCTCTTAGGAAGCACAATGCCATGTTTCAGGAATATCTCCCTAATTTTAAGTGACTTGGCATGTATAAATATTAATTAGGTTAGAGCTGTTGTTGTAAACACAGTGTGAATATTACAAGCTGTTTGAGGGAGGTGTGAATTGTTTGTACATACTTAAGCTCCACTGCATAAAAGCAGCCATAGAAATAAAGCAAGATAAAGAATTAAGCATAACTCTCCATCATCTGTCCAGGTGATTTAGATGTTGAAATATTTAATCTGGCCCCTGAGCATCCCAATTTCTGCTAGTTTGCTTGAGTTCTTTTTTAATGTGATATTTCAAAATTGTTGAGCTTTGGGGGGGGCGGGGGGGGGTGTTGTTTGGTGGGTTTTTTTGGGTGTGCAACTTTGATTACTTACGAATAGCTTGTGAGGGATTCATGCAGGGATGCATATGACGGTGATAACTGCTGACACATCCCCGGCTTCCTCAGGAACTGCGGTGTGAAGGGCTGGGAGCCCGAGAGCCGCCTGCAGACAGATGTGCCAGGACAGACAGCCTGGGGCTGGTTTAACCACGGTGGGCTGCCGGTCCACTCAGTGCTGGCAGTGACACAAATGTGTCTGCAGGAAATATTCATCTCCAGGCTACCAGGCGAACAGTGCCCTCTGTGCAGGGGCAGAGTGTTTACTGACTGCTCTTCCCCTCTGAACAGGGCACAAAAGGAAGGAAGGAAGAGATGTTATCAGTGCCGGATTTGTTTTCATATCTAACCTGCTCGTTGTGACGCTCTGCTCCCCTCAGCGTCTCATCCCCTCCCTCAGTTAGGCGCTGTCCTCGGTGGGAGGTTCCATTGCTAGCAAGGTCAGAGGGATGATGCATCCAAACCTTTCTCAGAGGAGGGCAACAAAAGGGTAAAAAACATCAGGGAAAATAATTTCCCATCTCATCTCCCAGAGCTCTGTAGTCTCAGGCTAAAAGTAGGGCAATGTCATGAACTTACAGCAGCTGGTAATTATAAGTAATCCACCAGTGAATTTCTGTGAGAGTGAGGGTACAGGATGGCTTGCTTTTTTTGTACCTGTTATCAATTATGGGCTGTTGACAGTTCATTTACAAGATGAGGAATGTCTTTTCTCAATTTTAAAATTAAATTACTGTCTTTAAGTTCGGGATTTGTTAAACATATCGATGCATGCAACAGGTGTTGAGTCAGACCTTCCTGTAGAAAGGAATTCTCATGCTACTGAGTCTCTCTGCACTTCACCTTCTTGCAATAAATATTGTCTAATAAGGAAAAAACAGCATTCTTGTCATTTACATCAGGGTAATGCTCCTCTCCCACAGCATTTGAATTGCTTTCTGGGTCATACAATACTTGAATTGTTTTCCAGGTACTTTATTTGGTGGAGGAGGCCAGTGGTAGTATGGGATAACTCTTAGGTGACTTGTTGCTTGCAGAGATACCGTACCACTGGACCCTAGGGGAGGTGATAACCTTTGCTTTGCAGTCTTGATGCTACTGGACTCAAATACAGTCAAAAGTGAAGTAGGAATAGGTTGAATACTATACTGTGAATGAGGAAAAAGTTGTGCCTGCCAAGCAGACCACCTGGAATTAGCTGATGTCCTTATGTTCTGCTCTTCTCATATCCCGAATTAATAGTGCTCTTAACACACTGGGGAGTCCTTTCCAGTATTCCACATCACTAAACCCCAATCTCTGCATTGCTACTTGTGCTCCTTATCCCTGGTCAAATTTATTAAAAAAAAAAAAAAAATCAGTGCTGCATCTCTGGTTCACCCCAGTCCAGATCTATTTGTAAACTTGTGTAATAATTCATGCAAGAGGGTACATGTAGAAACGTACAAATGTAGAAAGAAGACTGGGAGTTGTGTCTGCTTTGGAGAAAGGATGAACATTTGGCACATAAACACCTAGCTTAGGGTCCTAGAAAGTGTAAAGACAATGTAAAGCCCCAATATCCTCCCGTCTTCCTGTAAACACTGCTCAAACTCTGCAAAACCAAAGCCTACTGCATCAGACATACCAGTGTGGGACTATGACTATCAGTCCCTTTTTTCCTATATTGTGGACAAATCCTTTCTTCCTCTGAGTAACTTTGATCTTCAGGCATCCTTTTTTTTTTCTCAATGGAATATTTCACTGACTCTGATTCACTCTTTCTATGCAAGCCTACTCATCTTTAAGGTTTTACTTGTAAAGCCCAGTGCAAATTTTCCAATCTCAACAATGGGAAAAACTGTGTACGAGACTTAGGTACGTGTACAACTGAAGTGAGAGGGAAAAGAGGAACTGTAAGATTCATAGGGCAGGCAAGAATATTTTTTTAGTTGCTGGAGCAACATTCTACTTCTACAGACCACAGAAAAACCAGGGAGAGACCTGCATGGAGTTTCCTAAGTGAAAAATTCTTTGCTAACTCTAACTTTGGTTATTGTAAGCAGTTCTGCTTTATGAAAGAGTTGGACTAGGTGGATTAGATGCATTAGATGTTGACTCCCTACAGTTTTCATGATTCTACTGTCCTGAATACTCGGACTTTATGTTTCTAGTGACAAAAGTGATGCTTATTTGAACTTTAAAAATACGATGCTTCAAACCCATATGCATTCATCCATGTTGAATATTGGGTCACTATCCTTGTTTCCTGTAAACAAAAATGTCTGGTGGGATTTAACATGATACTATAAGGAATAGTCATGTTCTGACACAGCAGAAAGCTCTTCACATAACTTCTTCACTCCTAATTTTCTGGATTTCTTTCGGTTTCATCCCGGGATGCTTGGTAACAGACCTGCCTTTTTCATCTCCCACAAACTTCATCTACGAATATACTTTTCCCTATTTCATGCATGATAGCCAATTGCTGCTTGAAATACTACCTCACTTTAAAACTGTTCTCTTTTCCTGTTGTTGCAGGAAATTGCAAAAATATTTTAAGCCTTACAGTTTTAGGGTTTATTAGAATAATCCCATTATTTGAGACAAAACCCTCTTTGTCTTCAGGCTGGCATTGTCTTAGTTGATTCTGTCCAGTAAAAGGACAAAGGAAAACTTCTTGCAGGAGCAGCACCATAACTGGCTGTCACCAGCTGGTGTCTACTCTTTTCCAGATTTCTGGTAGGTTTGTGATGAGTAATTACTCCAATTTTAGGTGCACAGAAGGTGCTTACAAATGCATCATTTTCTATTCTTTCTGGAGACCACTTGGTAGAGTTTAAGTGAAAGAATTCTGAGAAAATTTCCAGGGTTACCACACTGGACAGGTTCAGTTAAAGCAAAGAGGACAAAAAGTTCTGTAAACTCCAAGTCCCATTTGCTGGTCAAAATTATTTCTAGCTTCTGCTTTTGACTTCTTCTTTTCTGTTTCTTTTTGGTCACTCTTGTCTGGCCTTACCCTCACTCATTCTCCACTTCAGCCCCACTTTGTTTCTGAGTGTTCTGTTTTGGCTTAGGCAAGTTGTTGTCTTCCACGTGTGGCCAATTTTCAGCTTTGCTGCACTCTTGCTGTTGAGCATAAACTTCCCTGGAGTTAATCTGGCTACATCTGTGCTGAGCTCGAGTGCCCAGTCAGGCAGTGGTGCCCCACTGCAGAACTCCTCTTGCCCACAGTCACATAGCTGAGCGTTAGCTTGGCTGTGAAAACAAGTGATTTCTCTGAAATGCGTCTGTCTCTTATGTGACCTAAAGAAATCAACTACTGATAATCCATCTCTCTAGCACTTAAGGGAAATAGAAACTACTTTCTGTGGGAGAGGAAATAGTCTGCATTAGAAAACAAAAGGGTGGTGGGTGCTTTTGAGCTGCAATGACATTATTTTGAAGTGTTAACATTTTTTCTCATAATATGTAATCAGTCTATAACAGAGTAATGGTAGCCATCATGAATTATTTTTAGAATTAATTTCTGCTACAAGCAAAAGTTTTCTGGAAAGAAATCCTGAAGCCACCAAGATCAAAATCTTGCTGCTGGTTTTAGTGGACTCATTTTTGATGTTGGACTGATTTGACTGAGAATTGTGTCTTTTTGAAGGCTGTTTGTTAGGGAGTTTTTTTGAAGTTAAGATGTTCCCCATGTTAGCTTTTGTTCCTGATTAATTCAGTGAGTTCTTATTTTGCAGCCAGTAAGGCATGAGTAGGGCTGAATGGTATCAGACTCCTCAAAATACAGAAGAAGTTCTGGATTTGAAAAATAAGTGGACCCTAATGCTAACCTGCATCAAGGAATACCACAAGCTAAACTTTGATTAATGATCCACCACCTGAGAGAGTCTTGTGGCATTGGGTCTGTGAGAGATCTGACTCTGAATGACAAGGGACCAGAGCTTTCCTGA